ATTTTAGGTATTTGGAACAACTGAGGGCATTAACCCTGTGTGTACTTACCCTTCCAAAACCAACAAGTCTTCATAGCATTCATATAACAGTTTAATAACACTGTGATTATCTCTAAGTTGTGCTCTACTGAATAGCCACAACTAGCGGTTTAAAACGCTGCGTACACCCAGGGGGTTCTTTAATATGCACAAATACACCATAGCCATGTCTCCTCTCGCTTTTTACACATTGTGGCCATCACCCTAAAAAAATAGGTGATGCTTCATTTATTGCTCGTGCCTCTGCATACCGCTGCTGGTGGTGAGTATTTTGGCGACTGAGTATTTTGTACTTGTATTTGGAAATCGCAGTGACCTTGGCCACACCAGGCTGAAGAAACCTGTCTTGCAAGCATGTGCCCAGGTGATTAATTTCAACAAACAGGTTGCTTATAAGAGTGTAATTACTCACTTGTGCAAATGGCAGGATGGGTGCACTGACCTGTATTAGACACATTGTAGTATACACCTCCCCATCGGTTCTTTTTCACTGTTAATCAGAGGACTGAAAACCTTGCAACATTTAGACAGCTTGAGGTTGAAGGCTGAAATGTCACTTTTAAAAGAGGGTTAAAAAGGTCGCGCAGCTGCAAATAATAATAGCCCAATGAAAATCAGATTCTTACTGCAGCCCACTTCAAGAATAACATTGAAACAGGAAACAAGCCTGCTTGATGTTTTTACCAGTAAGGCAATAAGATTACTGCTGAGTTTAAAAAGGGGGAAAGAGAGAGAGAAAGGAGCGCGCTTTCTTGGTGTTAGTTATTAGAACTATTTTTCTGATTCAAAAAGGATGATCATAGGGCTCTGCAAAATCTCCTTGAGGAGCCTGAGGACGTGGGGTGCTTCCCTCTGGACGCTGCTGAGAGGGGATGTAGTTTGTTGCTGCTTTCTGAGGGTGGTTGGTTTTTTTTCCCATTTGTTTGCTTTTTATTTCTTTGTTATGTTCTTGTATTCCCCGCTGTGGACTTCAGTTTTATTAATTATAATAAAAAATGTTTAGAAGTATCTTATGCAGAAATCAAGGGATAGAAGAAAATCTTGGCTTGCTGCAGAGCGTACTTGTTTCTCTTCCATGTGACATGGTTTGGAGAAGTCTTTCTATGTTTCTTCTGTATTTTCATTTATTTGTTTTTCTAATTAGGACACCTTAACCTTTCTTAAGCAGAGTGATATTTCAGGAGAATGGCAGGCTACAACAGCGTAGCAGATTTTCTCACTTACATATTCTGCCAATAAGGCTCTTTATGTGGTCACAATAGGGCAATAAATGCTGACAGATGTTGTTAACATGTTTATTAAAATTCAGCCCCTTTTTCTGCTGCATAATGCACTCCTGTCTATTTTTAATAATATCAGAACTAATGCTGACATATCAATATTAGTGCTCATTTATATTTATAATCCTTGTTTGTCTCTTCGAAGAGTTCACAAAGTGGCAATAAATTTTGCTGTTGATAACAGAAGTAAAAAATTCAGGCCTGAGCAATTTTTTAACTTCTTAGTCATCGTAGATTTTCCTGATATTCTTCATGTGTGTTAATTGCGTCAGTCATATGTAATACTATGAAAGGTGCACAAGTATACTTGAGTCGTTAAGATCCCAAAGGTTAATAAGCACCTTAATTTAGATGGAAAGGTTGCTGTGATTTATTTTTATTAGGTGAAGTCGGAATGTTGCCGTTGGTTGCGTTATTTCCTTCATGTTTGCTGAACCACCTGCACACATGTTGGAAAAAGGCGACGTGGGTTGTGTGGCCCAGCAACACACACGAGCCATGTGAAGTGAACTGTGTGCCAGGGGGTGTATAAGACTGTCTACGTCCTGAACTAAAGGACAGGAGATGCTGTGCAAACTGTGCTGTGTACAACAAGAAAAAAAAAAATAACCCATCTCTGTTGCTGAGAGCTCCCATCCTGCTGCAAACCTGGGGTGAGATCCTGCATTGCTTGAGCATCTGCAGCTCTTGCGGAGTTCAGCAGGAACGGGGGATGCAGGAGGTTCACACTTAGAGCCCGAATTTTCAGCTGCTTGTTCCTGGTCAACATTCAAGCATAAAGCTTGAGTTTCTGCCAAGCACTGAACACCCTCTCAAAAGTTGTTGGTAATAGGCAGCTTCTTTCAGTCCTTTCCTATTGTAAGAGCGTCAATAGTACTGTAGTCTGAACCGAGGTGATAGCATCACATGTAAATACGAATTCTGCATGGTCGACGTTGTCTTGAGGGTATTGTACTATCTGGTAACATGTTATATGGTTCAAGTTATGCCAGATAGTATCTTGGAGGGCACACATGACATAGCCATTCTGGAATTTTTTTTTTTTTGAAGTGTAGTGTCTGAGAAGAGCAATTCTTGTGGGAACCAGCAGTTGCTTGTACATTTGTGGTAAACTACTAGGCATTGTATCTGACATCTTTTCAAAGTACTGAGAATAAAACCCAAGTCCATGTTTTCCTGCAGTCGATCCCCATGTTTAGGATTCTTCTGGTCCTCATCGAGTAAGTTATTTTGGTGCTTACTCTGTGCTTATCTATCTGGTAACCTTAAGAATCCTTTCATTGTAGCAGAGCATGTACTGATGGATTTAGGGACGAAAGCTCAAGCTCAGGGTGGGGAGGGCAGTTTTTGACTTGCAATACTCAATAAGAAAACAAACTCCAAATAATTCCTGGTAATGTTTTGAAATTCACTTGGACGCTTGGGACCAGAATTGTTACTGTCTTGTTTTCTTTAACTGAGTCTCATCTGTTGTTCTGCTATTGAAAATGCAGTTGTCACTCTCCCCTGAGGAGGGGAGAAAAGGGTAACAGAAACCTTTGGCAGTGCTTCAGTTGCAGGAGAGATAATTGAGATATCAGATAAAGCCTTTTATTATCCACACGTAGCTTTTTTTTTTTTTTTAAATCTTTCTGTGAAAAGGTCTTTAGGAAAGACAACATCCTCGGGTCACATCCCATAAATAGGGGTGGATTTAAAAATCAAACTTAGCTGGAGGTTTTGGTTTTGTTTTTCTGGGGGTTTGTTTGTTTAGTCAGTTATCTCTTTGCTGCTTCTTTCAGACAGGATAGCATAATGCAGAACCTTTTCATTGCTTCACCTCCAAAGAGCTTGTCTATGCACAGTCTGGAACTGAAATAACTGAAATTAGAAGTAATTTAACACCTTTACTTATTTTAGTATTAGTCTTTATCCGAACACACTCTTTCATTTCTGATTATGAGTATCCTATTTCAGTTTAACATAGCTGTAAGTTAAATCAAAACAGGATATGAATAATCTTAACGGAGTAAATTAGGTACAATTTTAGTTATTTCAGTTCTGGCCTTGTGTAGAGAGATGGGTTAGTCCTGAGTTAGGGTCTTTTTTGACACCTGACTGTATTTGCTGCAATAGATCACTTGTCTCAGGCCAGATGTTGGTAGGGATGTCCGTGTCAAGAAAATCAGTTGATGCTAATTATCACCTTTAGGGGGTAGTGTCCTTGTGGAGGTTAAAGGGCAAATAAAAACACAATTTCTTCACTTGTGGATGCTTTTTCTGGGAGCCAGTGAGGTCAGGCAGAGGGTGGTCTGCTGCCTTTTTTTTACTTTTTTAGGTCATAAGTATGAAAATATTGTCAGGTTAATGTTGTCCTCCAGAATTAATTTCAATTAAAAAGAAAAAGCTATCATCCAAAAATTTTTCGGATTTTTTTTGAGAATTTAGGGCACAGAAAATAATTGCTTAAGTACAGGTCTGGCTGATGTTCAGATTAACGGTGTATGTATTGTTTGAAAGGATTAGTAGCAACTTTTGTGAAAATAAAGCTTTTCTAACAAGAAGTGTAAGTGTGGTAAAGATATTCCTGACAACAGGAAATAATGAATTGCAGTTTTGAAAAATGTCAACAAGATTGAGTAATTTTAGCACTTGTTCTTCTGCAGATTTTTGTAGTTTTAAAATAAGTCTGCTTCTCCACCAAGGTATTTATCTTTGTTTTATGAAAAAAATTACACAACTACAATTCAGATATTTGTCTGAGCAGGGCTGCAGTGAGGCTGAATTTTAAGGGATTTGAGGCATAATGTAAGCAGAAGTCATGTGTTGTGCTTCAAGCTGGGTCAGCTCCTATATTCTACCTTGTAATGCGAGTTGTACCAACAGGCTCAAGACATTTCTGAAATAAGTGACTTATTTTATGTCCCAGAATGTTACTAAAAAAAAAATAAATCATTTTTATTGATGCTTGTCAGGGACACTGCTCTAATATTGAGACAAATTCAGCTGCATTAGTGCATTCTGAGGGTGAATGTTTCCTCCTTCAGTTTTATTCAAGACCTGGGAGCTCTGCCCCAGGCTTCAGTTCAAGGTTACAGGACTGCAACTGCCCTGGGGAAGCTGCAGTTTTAGAGAAAACTTCACTTTTCAAGCTCCTGAGGATCTAGTTGACCTTTTAAAAGGCAGAGATGCACGATTATCTTCTGTGTACCGAGAGCATGGATGTAATGCATTTAAGTTACTAATATCGAACAGTATGGATGAAGAACTTCAAAAAGTGGGTTCTTTCTCAGAAGTAACCTAGACGTCTGGTTTTAATGTTGTTCAGCAGGAACTGAAGAAGGAAAGGTAAAAACCCTTAATTCGAGATATTTCTGAGTAGACACGGTCTTATCTAATAACAACACTGAACATATGCTTTTTTCTGAGGCAGATTTCTGCTGTGAAAGCTTAATGGGTTTTTTTTCTTCCTTCAAAGTAAATATGTGCTCAGGAAGGAGTAATAAGAACTTAGACTGTAGGGAGCCTGCTGGATATTAGCAAATTTAGTACTCTGAGGATGAAAACTTTGTTCTGGTCTGTTTTGGGAGTTTGAAATAAAAGCACAAACCGTGACGATGGTATGTTGCATGTATGTGTGAAGTTTAGACCGTGTATATTCATAGGTTCCCTTTCTTTCCCCCTTCCCCTTTTAACATGTAGATTTATGAGGAATCAAAGATGAACTTGGAGCAGGAGAGGCCTTTTGTCTGCAGTGCCCCAGGCTGCTCACAGGTGAGTGGAGTCAGCGGTGATATTAATTGAGTCCTCAGCACTAGCTCTGGCTTGTATAATGCCTCCTGATATATTAACACATGTCTAATAATAATATGTGTTGGTGTTTTTTTTCTGAAGTCCTCTCCCCCTTCAGTTCCCTCTTCACCCCACAAGATATTATTACAAAATATTTAAAGTAAATACAACAGCCAGTCAAAGGTGAGCTGGTAAAAGTGCTTCTCAAGCTGCTTCTGTGCCTTCCCTCATCCCCAACCTTAATGTTTCAAGCCAGGTTTTGCAAATGCCTTTAGTGGCTAGCAAGAGAGGACACACCAGGCAGGACTCAGTAGTCTGTCTTCTGGTTAGATGTACAATGGAATATATTGCCATTGGATGTGATAGCCCTATTGTTTTTGTTTAATACTTAAATACAATGATATCTTACTAGCTTTTTTTTTAATGTTTGAGACATCTTTCTAATAAATATTCTCTACAGAAAATGCAGCCTGTAGATAAATTCTGCCCCAGAATTTACATTTGGGGTTCCTCTTGGCTGGTGGTCTGCCATGTGACTCTGAGGGTATAATCTGACCTGTAACATTAGATGTTTAAATGTTTAATGATCTTGCAAATCCTGAAGGAGGATTTTACCTGCTAAGATTTTGAATTGGGGATTTATGTGTTTTTTCAATGATTTTGCAGTGGTGAGGGAAGTTCCCCTCCTATGCAATGATGAGGGAAGTTCCACATGTGGTGCTTCTGACCCTAATTCGGTTTAATGACAAGAGTTTGTGAGTAAGATCTTCAGGCAAGGGCACGATTTTGGCTTTTGCCACAGGCTTCCTGTTTTAAGTGATTTAGCTTACCTTTTACCAGAGTTCTCCTCTCTTGAGGAGGGTAACTTGTCTCTGCTCTAACTGTATGTTAGGAGTTTTCAGCTGGCTAATATTTTTACAACACTTTTTCTTCTGGTGGAACCATGGGTGACTATTACTGGAGTTGATTTTGCCAAGAGCTGAGATCAGGAAAGGATGAAGCCTGAGGTCTGGGTAACAACTGCCCGAGCAGCTTTGCTGTTTCACTAGGGGTGTCAGAGTGCATCTTTTGGATTGTCCCTCTGACAGAGGATTTGTCACCTCAGATCTCCCCGTGCAGAGTTAAACTTTCACCATTCTGTCACAGAGGTAGAGTAAGAGCGTCTGAGTTTTAGAATGAAGTTTTATTTACCGTTTTGTTGAATCTTAAAACTAACTTCCACTCAAATCAGTGGACTTCAGAGTTTTCATCTCAGCTATGAATTAATTTTCTCAATAGAGGAGAAGCTGATCCAAATAAGCTCATTTAGGTTTTCAGAGAGCGGGTTTGGTTGTATGCTGTTACATTTTGGAAAGACAAGCAATGTAGGTGTGACTTCATGTTAAAAAACATTTAATTTCCCATTTCAAAACATGAAATGCCTCCATTTATTGGAAATGAGGACTTGACAGAAGTGCACAGTGTAGCACTGCTATCCAGCTAAGCTGTCTGGGGACTGGCTTCTCTGGCAGCCAGCGCAGATGTGGATCGAGGGCTGAGGGAGTTGACCTTCTGCACAGGGAAGAAAGTAGACTTAGGAAAAGGACAGAGAAGTCCGGGTTGGAGGAATAGCTTCTCCTCACTTGTCCCGTGCCCTCTTTAAGCTGGCTGATTTCACCCTGAAGACAGAGCATGGTGTCCATGAAGGAAAATCCATTTCCACAAAAACAAAATGTGGTGGCTTTTTTTTTTTCCCCTCACAATCTCAGCAAGTAAGGTCTTCCACATATTCCCTTTGTTCTTAATATAAATTTCTAGTCCTGCATTTCTTCCAGATGAGTAAGCAACGAACCAGGATTTCACAGTGAGGAAAAGGTCTTTGGGATTTTTTTATTTTATTTTTTTTTTCCAGAGAATTCATTCCTATTATTTATGCTGCTTTGTCTATGGGCTTAGGGAGATTCTCAGGAGGTGTGACATACTGCAGCTATTTATACTATAGCCACAAGCAAAGTCACTTAGCCAAGAATATACCGTGCTGAAAGCATTAAGTCACTTTAACTCTGTTGTTGCCAATTTTTTTTACAGTCTCCTATGTACCTGTTGCTTTAAAAAGCTGTTTTTAAAATTTATGTATTTTCCTCAAGCCCTGGTGATACAACTTTTGGCCTTTGCTAGTCCTGAAATGACCCTGCTAAAACTATTACAGTCTTTGTAGCAAAGGTCTGTGTGTGCACCTTCTGATGAAGGAAACTTAACAGAACCAGTCTGCTCTTAGAGCCCAAGTGTGCAAGTGCTTGAACATTTATTCAAGCTTGTCTCTTCTTTGTCTTGTTCAAAAGAACCTTTTGTTGTAGAAGTCTGTTATCAGGCTGTAAAACAAACTTAGCACACCTATTAGTTTCTTACAAAGCACATCACCTTCTCTGCTTGACAAAGGAAAATAATTTAATATCATAAAGGGTCATAAGTAGTTGTTATATACCGGGCACCATTGCATTGCCACTTTGAATCGAGTTGAAGTAACAGAGGTTTCCAAAATTATGTGTTTTGCCTGAATACTTTTGGGTAGGGAAAGGCTGGCTTATTTGCTTATTTTTATTGCTGTTCAGCAGATAGGGGCTGCAGAAAGACACAAAAGCAGAAAAATCCGGTGAAGTGATTTAAGATATGCCGCATTACTTTGCGTTTGCCGTGGGCTAAGAGCATACACAGCAGTAGTTATCGCAGATCCTCAGGCACGTGGTGACTTGTGGGGCTGTGGTAGCTGGAACGGGTGTCTGAGACCCTTAAAATCCAAAACTTTGGTCTGCCACTTTTTCAGGCAAATGCATGACACCTTGCGGTTTGCAGCCCCGGAGAGGACTGCAGCAAATATGTTTCTAAGTAGAGTACAGCTATTTGTTACTCATACTCACTTGCATTTTCAAATATTTTGTTTCCTCTGCCATTTGGACACATTTCTAGCTGGATACAATTCTTTCTCTCTCTCATTTTTGAAATTCTGTCCAATGCCAAAAGTTTGTTAGAGAATTAAATTCTTCTTTTTTTTTCTTTTTTTTTTTTCCCTTTCTCTCTCTTCCTCTCTCTTTCTGTGTTTGCCTGACAGCGTTTTCCAACAGAGGATCATCTGATGATTCACAGGCACAAACATGAAATGACTTTGAAGTTTCCTTCAATAAAAACAGATAATATGTTATCAGGTAAGAAGACACAAATTCAAGAGTCAAGATAACTATTCAGATGATGTTGAAAGCATGACTCCTATTGGAAAGCTACTGGCAAAATACCTCCAAGATCGGTTTTAAAAAGCCCCACGTCCAATTAAGTAACAAGTAGAGATGGAACAAGCTAGAATGCATATCTTTGAACAAAAAGACAGTTGCCATTCTTATGCCTTCCTGCAGGTTTGGCATTAGAGGGGGAGAAATTGTTGAACCTCGGCCATGCTGGCAGGGAGTCCGGCCGCGAGCGTGTTAATGAAGTGCATTTGTACTGTTCCTGTAAGACTCACTATTTAGGTCTGACAGGCTCACTTCAGCAACTGTGGCAGGCCACATCGTGTGAACCACCTTTATGGTGGCTCAAGATCTGCCCACTGTAAATAGCCATAACCAGAAAGGTAATATCTCGTGGGTAATATCCAGTACTCTTTCCCCCTCAAGGTAACCGCCTCTCTCTGCACTCCCCCTGTCACACACAGAGATTATTTTGTATTATGTGCAATTACATCCTTTAATTACTTATGTAGTTTTTTCATACTCCTGTCTGAGTAACCGCACATCGGTGACTTGCTGACATCCAGTGAGTACTGAGCAAGGTCAAGCTAGCCTTAATCTTACCACTTCTCTCCTCTCCTATTCCCTTTCCTATTATATATTCCTTGGGCTACAGTAATGTATTATTAAGAATAATAGCACGAGGATTTTTCCGGTTTCAAAGTAATTGTAGAAAAAAAAAAAACCTATGATGAAAATGTATGTGTGGATGCTAACCAGTGTTTGATATTTATCTTTTGAAGTTGACTTCTTCAAGGTAAATTTTGTTATTTTAGGTGCAAATATGTTATGATTAAAGGGTCTTCAGTCTTTTACCAATAAACCATTTCCATTTTTGTGAACATCATAATTGGGTAACAATTGCTTGCAAATACTTGATTGAGGCCCTTGTTTTTTTTTATTTTTTTGGCTCTTTTGGGACTTCAGGTACCAGGTGAGAAATGAGACAGAGACCTTGTCCCAGAAGGCACACCTTGTCCCAGATACACTTGAAAATGCTAAGAGGAAAATAAATTCTATAGTGGACTAAGCGTAAAAAGGAACAGTACATAACATACTGAAGAATAGGGTTCACAAAGTGCCTGCATGCCAGCTATACCCACAGAATCCTGTGTTTGCAAGCACAAGTGAGAAAATGCTGCTCTTGCACTTGGTCGTGTCCTCAAGCAGTGAAACTGCTGGAAGGCACCTGTACTGTGGGCACATTCACCCTGTGAAAGAGCTGGCTTTTGTTAGAGCTTTCTGTTTGGCAAGACTTTTACTTGAGGGCAGTTTCTAAGGAGTGTGTTCTGTCATCGGGAGTCCCCTGAAGTAGAGCAGCTTTTTTTGTTTGGTAACTTCTATGAGAGAGCTGTCCTGCTGCTCCCAGCGGTTTGCTTTCCCAGGCAAAACGCTCTGACTGGCTTCCAGCACTACCACCAGTAGTGGGGACCCTAGACCCCCAGTTATCCAACTAAGTACACAGAAATGCAGAATTTTGTGGACAGAAAGGCTCCAAAATTGTTTCTGAGCAATATATTCTGTGTTCTTTGTGGGTGATGATTCTCTCTGGTAGTAAAAGAGTATAAAGCTGCACATGTTCTCAAAGACGGTGGCAACTGTGTCTGACTGTAATGGTCTGGCAGCCTGGTTCTGCTGTGTGTGATTTTTTTTTTTTTTTTTTTTTCTTTTTGTGTTCGTTTGGTGGATTTGTTGGCAATCTGAAATCCTTAGTTTGGAAGCACCATAGATCATCTACTCTCTGCAGAGAGACATTGAAAAATAGTTGTTTCATTACCCACCTAAACCCTGGGGAAATCTAAATACCTTAAAGTTTAAGATGTTTTATTCTTAGATTTCATACTGAAAAATTAATGATATATGGGGAAAAGAGACAGACTTTTCTCTTAGACATTTGTCTTCATGTCTTCCTTGTTTTTTGCATTTTTGCTTATTTGACTTTTTTTCTTTAAAAAAAAAAATCGTTTCTGTCATCAGTAGGTTCAAAGAATTGCAGCAGCAATTGCCCTATAATAAGCCAGGTGCAGTGTTAGTATGCATTTTTTTTTCTTCTTTTTATTAAGGTGCCTAGATGTCAGACTTTCTCCTTTTTTTCCAGTATGTTGTATATTTTAACGTGTTCCATTTGAATCCATTCGTTATTAATAATTAGTCACGCAAAGTAAAGGACTCTATGCTTTCAGGTAGCCATTAGAATTATCTTTGATTCCAGAGACAGCTAATGCCCAGTCTAGGATCAGTATAGTATCAGTAATATTTAACACACACAAAGCATGGCTTCTATAAACTGTTATTGGAGGTACGCAGTAAAACTGAGGGACTGTTGGTTTGTACCGATATAACATCTTGGAAACTAAGCAAAATATGACTTGGGAAGTAGGAACTTGTTTCTTGTGTGAAATTTGTGCTGTGTTCTGAAATATCAATTTGTAAGTAAGAAGTAAAGTTACGTTATACATTGCTATGTAGGTGGGGACAATGTTTAATCGACAAGGTTCTGTGATCTGATGGAAATTATTGCTGCTATGCTGGTTTGTCTAGCCAAGAGTTTCCTGGTTCTCAACTAGCTCCTCTATATTTGCTTAAAATTTTTGATGCTGACTGAAGAAGGACAAGTCTTATTAAATCCAGTGACTCCTGAGCTAATTCAGAAACTCCAGGTACACACATACACTAAATAGCTTTATGTTCTCTGACTATAAATGGCAGGGAAATTTGCTAAACACATTGCATGAAAATGCAACCGATCCTTTTGTTGGCTAATTTGACATTCATTTAAAAAAGAAATAGCTTTATGTTCTCTGACTATAAATGGAAGGGAAATTTGCTAAACACAATGCATGAAAATGCAACTGATCCTTTTGTTGGATAATTTGACATTCATTTAAAAAAGACAGAAAAAGACTCTAATGTTATTTGTTCCTTTATGTGTATGTATTTTATTTTTGTTAGAAAGCCTTGTTGTGAGTATGGGTAGAGAGTCATTGATGGTTTCGATTTCCATCTTTCTTAGCCAAAAAAGAGCTGTTTGAGATAACACAGAATATCTTGTGTAAGTTTTGCATGGTAGTCATCATTGCAGGAAACTTTGAAGTTAGGTTGACTGAAACAGATTTCACCTCTGCTGTTGTGCTAACTAACCATTGCATTGCTTTGGAACTGTAGTTTGTTGTGTGTCAAAGCTTTTGTTGTTTTAACAGCAGAATATTAATGTCAGTGGGACAGATTGTTTCCTTCAGGTAAGGACTAAAATTGGTGAGGAACTGAACTTTGGGAGTTGAGACCACTGAGATTCCTGTGGTATCAAAGTTGGCAAGAAGTGACAATTTACCCTCATTGGACAGGAGGAAGGCCTTCCAAAACTGCTACTAGCAGATACAGGAGAGGCAAGGATTACCTTCATAGAAACCATGTTTCTTTCTGATTCTATTTACTGAACTCCAATCATCTAGATTTTTTGGTGGTAAAGCCCACTGTGGAGGCAGAAGCAGCCTCCTCTAGATGAAAAAGGGTACGTGCTAAAGGGTAGTGAAAATATATTGCTTTTCGCAGGTAATGCCTGTGTCAATGAGGTAATTTCTGGCATCCATGGTTGGCTTAATTTTTTTTTTTCTCCTTGTGTTCTACACAGGAAGGTTTATCAAGGCATGAATTTTGTAGTGTGCAAAATGATTGGATATAGGGAAAAATAACTCTGATTTCTTGTTCTCTTCTGTGTCCCCTGCTTTACCAAATAATGAAATGAAAAGTTTTCTAAAAATCAACTGGTCAGGTCAATGAAAGTGACCAGATGAGATTATAGATGTGTTTACCCAATATATGTACCCCCACAGAAAGTACAACCTGCGCTTTAAACAGTGACTCTTTAAGCAGTGAAATTCCTGGGAGCCCTTGTCTGTGAGCTCCTGGGTGAGGGCAGTTCCACCAGGTACAACTGGGTACACCTCTTCCTCCTCTTCTCTTCCATCACCTGCTTGAGGTGTTGTGATTTTGAGCTTCTTGGTGCACTTGGGCAGTAACCAGCCAAATGACTGAAGAAACCTTCTTGAATTTCTCAGGACATTCCTTTTTCCTTGTGGCTGCTTGATGGGCAGCCCTCCAGATTTCAGTGCTAGCCTAATTACTCTGACTTTGTTATCATTGTGTGAAAGTATAACATAGTAAGTATATAACTTCAACAGAGCCCACAGCTGAACAAGCCAAACGCCTGTTATTACTGCACATCAGACTAAACATATTTTTTTAAAAAAAGAAGAAGAATCAAGTTACACGCTTTGGAGCTGTGCTGTTAGATATCTCTTATTGAATCTGAATTTGTGGTGTGGGTTTGTTTTTTGTTGCTTTTTTTTTTTTTCAAAATGAAAGCTTGTTTCACATAACTGTCCTTTGGTTCTCCAGTCTTTTCTTAACTGGTATCATGCTCTAAAGTTTTCATTTGTGCTTTGCGGGATGAAACTGTAGGATCCAAGGTATTTTTACGAAGTGCATTCAAATAAACTCTCTATGTGGCAAGCTAATGTTGCATCTCCTGGGCTGTTGTTTTGAAAACAATATATTGAGATGAAATGTACCTTTCTGAGACTATTATTTCAGTAATTACCAAAAAAAAACCCCTAAACCAAACAACAACAAACTTTGCATATCCAAACATAATGAATATATATTGGGATCTTTTTACTGAAGACTTTAAATTTCCCATTTGCCATATAACATGCCATATATATAGCATATATATGCTATATAGCATATATATATTTCATATATAGAATCGGGCATGACTTCAGATACTTAGGGCAGGTTTTCAAAATGGTCAGCAGCAAAAATATATTCAGTGTATCAGCTTCTGGTCAGAATCTTCTGAAATCCTGTCCTGTAAGATACAATAGGTTGACTTGGGATCTGCACTGTTGAGACCATTTGATCTTGCTCTGGGGCTTTTATGTTGTCCACTTGGGTTTTTGAGATTTATTTAAACTTAATGTAAACATGCAGCCTTTCTGGCCATGACTGTCATTGGAGAAGTTGGTTATTTACCTGAGTAATAGGCTGAACAAAATATTTATTGCCCAGTCTGAAGCTTGACAGTTTCTGTGTTCAACCTGATTGTAAGGCGAGAGGGAAATAACTTTCTAAGTAAGTGTCAGAAGGCACAAGTTCACCTGTGAAGTAGCAGTTGGCTGGAGGTGGATGCTTCGTTGACAGTTTCTGTGTTCAACCTGATTGTAAAGGCGAGAGGGAAATAACTTCCTAAGTAAGTGTCAGAAGGCGCAAGGTCACCTGTGAAGTGGCAGTTGGCTAGAGGTGGATGCTTCAAAGCAGAGTAAACTAGTTCTGGTAGCAGTTGGGGGTGGAAAGATTTTTATATGTTGAACAACGGGACTGGGTTGGGATGGCTGGTCAGTATCATAGCCAGATATCCAGGGTTAACCCGGACAGACCTGTATCCCAAGCCACCCCATTCAATATCCATCTTGGGCCATTGAAGTCCTGGATTGCACATGCAGACAGCTTCCTACAGTAACGTGTGTCCTCAGCAGGAATGCTGAGAGTGGTGCTAGCTCTGTGTCTGAGTTTTGGTCCAGATGGGTCTGGCACATCCCGTTGCTGAAGTACAACAAATCAGAGCCCTTTCCTTAGTAAGCCTGCAATAGCTGTGGGCGCTGGTGATAGCAACAAAAGGTTTGTTTGTACCAACAGGGAACAGTGAGGTCAGGCACAAGCTGTTGGAACTATTAATGCATTTTTAAGTGCTGAGAATTAGGAATATTTTATTAATTCTAGGAGACCTAAAAGTGCAACTTATGCTAGGGTCTCCTTTGTGATATCATTGCCAATTGAAACACAAGGGCTTGCCTAATCTAGGTAAAAGAATTACTGTGGTATTGAGAGTTATATCTTCTGCTAGTTTGCCCACCTCCTCAGCTGGTTGCATCAGGAGCAAAGAAAGCCCACTGGGCTTGGTAGCCCCAAAGTCCTGAAACCAGTGAGTGCAGTGTAACTACTACACTGTGTAAAGTCTCAATTGAGGCCCCACCTGGAGTACTGCGTCCAGATTTGGAGTCCTCAGCACAGGAGGGACATGGACCTGTTGGAACAAGTCAAGCAAGTGAAGAGGATCAGAGGGCTGGAGTGCCTCTCCTACTAAGAAAGGCTAAGGGAGTTGGGGCTGTTCACCCTGGAGAAGAGAAGGCTCCAGGGACACCTTATAGTGTCCTTCCAGTACATAAAGGGGGCCTACAGGAGAGATAGGGAGGGACTCTTTATGAGGGAGTGTAGCGATAGGATGAGGGGTAATGGTTATAAACTGAAAGAGGGGAGATTTAGATAACAGGAAGAAATTCTTTCCTGTGAGGGTGGTGAGACACTGGAACAAGTTGACCTAGGGAAGTTGTGGACGCTCCATCGTGGAAGTGTTCAAGGCCAGGCTGGATGGGGCTTTGAGCAACCTGGTCTAGCGGGAGATGTCCCTGCTGTTGTAGTAAAGTCTGTTTTCTGGATCAGCTGTGTGCCTTGACAAAATATAACAAGACCTTATCCATGTTAGTGTATTCTGCCATGCCTCCCAAACTCTGGGCTCAAGCAACTCTGAAAAAAACCCTTAGGATTTGTTTATTTTAGTGAAAGCGAGGCCACCAACTTTTTTATGAAACCCTAGTTTTTCTTCTTGGTCGTGAAAATGATACCTTGCTTATTTGATAGGGATATACCACTTCTGAAAAGAAAACATTTCCTGTACTTGCTTCACACTCAAATACTAACATACCCTTTATGTACAGGAAGGCTTGGCTATGGTTATCTTTGCATTCTACAAAGCAATTGTGTTGTTCGCTAAAGTAATATTTAAGCCTTTTTGGAAATAAAATCTATTTCTCCTACTTTTTAGTGTTCTTCATTTTCAGTACAAATTCCAGTCCAAGGGCCAAGGACAACCCTGGTGTAGATCTACACCAGTTTGGTGAGGTTACCCTAGAGATTGGTTTGGCACCACTTATTTAGGATGTGGACCTGTAAAGTGCTGAGCATCTTCAGCTCCCATCGATGTCAGCACCTCATTGACTCCTTGCGCTGAGTTCTTGCAAGATTCTTGGAAAATCTTATCTTTTGACTCTGGTAATACAGTAGTTAGATGTGAAAACTAATAGATAAATATGTGTGCATTCCCAAACACTTGAGTTTTGTTTCCTTTAAGCTCATAAGTGTGATGCTCAAGCCAAAAGAAATAAAACAGACTTTTAACATTAAGGACTTGCTTTTTATGTTTCGTCAATACATTCCATCAGGAATATAAATGCGAATGAGTATGTTTGCCCTTGAATTACTTAAGAAGGCCAAACCTGTAGGACCACACCTTATACAGGTGGAAATTGGCTTCAACTGGTTTTGTAATGGAAGAGTCTGATCCTCCCTCTTAATTTCCAAGTGGAAACTGTATTTCCTTTTGTATGCATTCATTCTGTGCTGCCTTTGTTTATAGGTTGCTGTGTGTTTCTGATCTGATCATGTAAAGTTATTTGTGTCTGGTGGCTGTTCCCTGTAAGGGGGAAATATTAGAACTTGACCCAGCTTATCTAGGTACAAGAACCCAAAATTTTCTTTCAGAACTCACTGAAGTGGGAAGCTTTTTGTCTGAGGTCAGAATTGGCCCAATATGGGCAACTGGGATTAATATGACAGTTTTCATTTTTTTAAAGAATGAATTTCAAACAATAGGGTAGTTGTCAATGACTATGCAGAAGATTATTTTTGAAGAGTGAGTCTAATCTTTCCATAAAATTAGGTACTACAGCTTGAGCTGGAATGGGGACTTGGGAAGAAGAAACTAACATGCAAGAGAGGATTTAAATTTTTTCTTTTTCTTTTAGTATGTGTAAAGCTGACAGAACCATATGGATTCTCCCCTGCTTTTGCTAACATGGTTCTGTATTGTCATTTGAGTGGGAGATGGGGAAGCTGAGGTGGAATTGTTAAGAGTTCACCTCAGAATGAATGGAGGTACCTCATTACTGCCCTTTGAGGAGTACTATGTTCCCAAGTTTGGCCTTGATTTTTCACTTCCTAAAGAAGGACTAGCCAAAGTCATCTCTGAAACTGTCCACAGGGCGATTTAGCTAGTGTGTCTTGTGGGCTTTTTGAAAAGTCATCTGAAAAATTTGTACCTTCTTGAGTCCCTCCTGCCTGTGGCATAAAGGAGAATCTCAAGTTATTTCTGAGAGGGCAAAAAAAAATTCCCTAGAGGTGAAAGCATGCATTAAAAAATCTTTTGACTCTAAATCTCATGTTTTATATGTATTATCAAAACTTCTGGATATAAAACACATAAGGAAGACTCATTGGGGTCAAATTTTAACATTTCCTATCTTTCCTAAATGTCATTTAAAACTTGTGTTAGAAGCAGCACTTCTTGCTGTGGCTAACTTCAGGGGTTTTGCAAAGTATGTGTATGATTGAGGTGGTTTTCAAGCACTTGAAGGCGTTGACTAATGTGTGTCTATGGCAGTTACCTGCATGCTGTGGTGTAAATGTGTATTATCACATGCACTGTGTTGTTCTGCATGCACTTGCTATTGGGGATTTATAGACAGTTATAGTGACCATCTGCACAGGTGAAAGATGTGCACTTGTGTCACATGCTCGTGTGAAAACCTGGCTTGTCTTTCTGGTGGAATGACAACTGCTGCCTGTTTTTGGACACTGTTGGCGAGCGCTGCCTGCCTGAAATCCATAGTGTCAAAATTCAGTGATGTGTAGTTTGTTTTTAATGATGATGTGGTGGGAGCGGGAAGGCGTGGAGGGGTGAGCTAGGACCTCTCTTTTGCTGACAGACTATTTAATTCTCCTTCTCTTGTCATATTCTCAGATCAGACTCCTACACCAACACGCTTTCTGAAGAACTGTGAGGAAGTGGGCCTCTTCAACGACATCGATTGCTCCCTAGAGCACGAGTTTCGAAAGGCACAAGAAGAAGAGAATAACAAAAGGGTGAGTGTGAACACACAGAGCCTTTCCTCCCCTTTTGCTTCCTTGAAACATTAAAAGACTGTGTGAAAGCACAGTACCTAGTAGTAACCTTTTGGTTAGAAACTAGGTGGCACTATAAGTTGTGACATGCTTTTTCAACTATTGAAACAGTTAACAAAATTAAAAACCCCAAACCAACCAAAAACCAGCATTAAATTTCCAAAAGTGTGTTGCTGTGTTTGCCAGGATTTGATTCCAAGTCTCTGCTTTTAAGTAAACTATAACACAAACCACACACCTCTTGAGGGAGAGGCTTGGGAAAATTTTATCATCTTTGAAGTGAGGATTGCAAACTTGCTCAAATACATTACAGGGAAATGTGGATTATGAAGGGGCATTTACTTAAAAAAAAAAAAAAAAAAGTTTTGCTCTTTCCTGTGCAACGCTGTGGGCCCCTGGATTTATTTGTCATCATCGCCAGCTTTATTGTGTTTCTGTATTTCTCATAAAGTATTCATGTTGAAGGGGGAAACTTTAACTTGTAATACCTAGTAGATAACATATCCTATTTCCAATTAGTATTCTTTTAGTCTCAGCATTTGTAAGTTTTGGTTGAAATATATAGGCCACTTTGTATGGATTTAAGTGTACTCCTGTGCCCAAAGGTTGCTAGAGTGTTTTGAGGGATCCTGAAGAGCTGTTAAAATTTTCAAGGAATTGTAAAAGAGCTTAATACACTATAGAGGCCAGCAAGAGGTAATGCATGAAATTTTAACTTTTCAAATGAGATCCAAAGTTCTGGTTGCTTCTGAGAACTCAAACACATGAGTAATATGGGGCTTCCTACAGGAGCATATTGCTCCCTGCAGCCCTCCAACAACCTGCCCAATGCCTTCCCTTCACAACGTTCCCTTTTGTGCCTCTGTTTTCCCCTCTCCCATTTCTGCAGCTCTTGGAAATTCTCGTTTAATGTGTCCCCTGCCACCGGAGTTCCCCAGTTATTGAACACTCTGTTATTTGGCTTGGTTCTCACAGTAATCTCTATTTGCCTAATTTGAACATTAATGGGGACCATAAACTAGAAGTAGGAAAAGGTGGTCACGAAGCAGCTACAGTGCTAAAGCCAGAGGGCACTTCTCTTTAGCTTGCCTCAACATTATTTTGCCTTTCAAAATGTCTGTGCCTCCAATTGCAGGGGATTCCTCTATAGGTACTCTTTCTCTATAGAGTACCTCTATAGGTACTCTTTCTTATAGCTGCTGCGTTGTGTCATTGGCTTTGCCTGTCGGTGATTGCTCTCCAGCTCAGAATTCATGTGTGTGTGGCATATGTGTGCTGCTGAGGCTCGTGAAATTTGGAGGCAGCAGCATTTAGGGATCTTGAGGTCTGCAAAGTAAAGGCACAAGAGGGCTTTTTGGAAAAAAGAGGTAAAGCTGATTGCTGAGGTGCAGAATGGGAAGCTAGGCTTGTAGAAAGAAGATGGGAAGGGAGCTTAGGAGTGGTTTGGTTTTGGTTTATTAGGGAAGGGAGTCTAGGAATGGTTTATTTGTGGATCATAAGGAAAGAGACTGGGACAGATAGAGGAGAAGAGAAGATAGGCTGTGCCATGGTATGCTGAGCAAGGAAAAAGAGTATCCAAATGTGAGAGAATCCAAGTTTTTTGGTCAAGGATTGAGAAAATATCCCAGACTGACCCTCATAGTTCTGTGTGCAGGAGAAAGGACAAAAATGGAAAGAGCCATTTAATGACATAAATGTGTCTAATTATAGATGTAACTTGTTAATACTTTGTTTCTTGTGCGCTGCAGAGAGGAGAGTTGGCCAAAATCAAGGAGAACATTTCTGTACATTCCTATCTCTTTGCAAATTAGAGGATTCCTCAGCATTTCTTTCTGCATGGTGTTTATTTTGCAGGAGTAGGAGATGAGGAGCCACCGACTGCGACGCTTGGTGTTGCAGAATCCAGTTCAGCTCAAAAGGGGCAGTTGCACAATCTGATTAAAGCCTAGACAAGAGCTTCACCAGAGCATTACCAGATAATACCAGTTGTTTAAGGGTCTCTGGAAGTCTTAGACTGCCCTTCTTCTTCCAACCCTTGCAGCTGCTATTGGTGATCTCCAGGGAGCAAGTAAGCGATTGAGGAGGAGAGAAATATTGTTGTTTAAGGGTCTCTGGAAGTCTTAGACTGCCCTTCTTCTTCCAACCCTTGCAGCTGCTATTGGTGACCTCCAGGGAGCAAAGGAGCGATTGAGGAGAAATATTAAAAAAAAAAAAGAGGGGGGGAAAGGTGGGGGGAAGAGGAATGGGGCAAAAGTCCCACTAGCTATCTAACCTGTGCTGTGCGTTTCCAATTAGCCTGCTGTATGTTCATGCTTATATTACTGACTGACTGTCAGATTGGAATCTGAAGCGGGCCCCAGTAGGGCTTTACGCAAATGCAGGAGACAAAGGCCATGACAGAAGGGGACTCCTCTGGGTGCAGCTATTGCCAACGAAATGCTTCCAACAGCCTGTCCCTGGAATATGAGTGCGATGTAGCATTGTCCTAATGGGCCTACCAACGCTTGGAGACTAATGCTAGCTGCATGGAAACCTTACTCATGGCTCAGCAAAGTCTTCCAAAAATATTTTTCGGTTGTGTTAATTTCTCTGGACTCTGAAAAAAATAGTTCTGTTTATTTTAGTATATCACTGTGGCTTAGCACACAGCTTGACACTGAAGTCATGTAAGAGAAAAACACTTTAGGGTTGTGTTTTTTTTATTTTTCCATCCTTGAGAGTCATCATTTGAACACTCAAAGAATAAAGTCCAGTTATCTGCATTCTCTCTTTTTAAATTTTTTTCCCCTCCCATCTCTGCTGAGTGGAAGCTCATGGATAATCCCTGAGAATTTGTTGTGATTGAACTGGTTACATGGACTGGTGACATTCCAAATCAGCTGTGAAACCCTGAGTGCACGGTTTTTAGGAACGCTATCTGTACCTTTTTTGTAAAGGTAGTATTGAGGGAAACGCACTTGCGTTAATAACCCAGCTGCATATCCAGGAACAAATCACTTAACATCTTTCTGCCATAGTTGCTCATGTGTAAAGTGGGAGTAGTGTCTCTTTCTGCCTCCTGTACTTGATATGTCTTATTATTGTAACTTGATACGTCTTATTATTATCATCTGTCAAGGACCATCTCTTCAAATATACATGGGTTAGCCTTTGCTTGGGGACTGAGTGAACTCAAGTGATACTAGTGATGATGACTTCAGGACCTGAACTGAAATGAGAAAAATTAAGTTATAAATGGAAATGAGACTGTCAGTTTGTTTTGTCTCCTTTGTTGCCTATACCATCAAATATTACCTGGAAGCCTCTGCTTGAGAAAGGCCTACTCCCTAAATGCAAAAGATGCCATAGATCAGCAATGAGCGTATGGATAAACATGTGAGAAGGAGGCTCTTTGCATCCTCCTGACGGCACTTTTCCTGACACAAAAATTCTACCTGCCAAATTCAACACCAAAATTAGCAGAGGTAAAATCATACCTATACTATATTTCTGCTTGCAAAAGTGTAAATATTAAAGCTTTTAGGAACTTGAAGCAGGCAGCAATTGGCAGCTCTGCCCCAGACAAAATTTGTGACCCAGATCCAGAAGGCAGGTAGCGCTGGCAGATCAGATGATGATCTCAGCCTTCTAGCTGCAGGTTCTAGGTTTACACTGCTCAGAGCATTAAGTATCCAAAGCATTTTTAGCAGGTTATACTGGTAAACACATGACCTTTGCTGCTACTGGACAGGCCCTGCTGCCCCATCTGGTTTTGAGCATTGAGGTGGGGTCTGCGTGAATAATGTCAAAGATTGGGAAGAGGCAGGATCTGTGTCTGAACAACTAATTGGATCTGCTTTATTAAAATGCATCTTGTCTGTCTTCTCTGCATGAGATGAGAAAGAGTTGAAATATTTTCAGTGTAGTATTTAGAAATAGTGAATTTAATATTTTCAACATGAGGGTATTTTTAAAATCACGTTCTGCTTATGCTAGAATTTCTAGGGCTTAAGCTGCAATTTTGGAATCTTCTAACCAGTGCTCAGTGCTGCGAGGTAATATGTAAAATGTGCAAATGAGGCAGGGAAACAAATATTCTCAACTAGAGCTTTGTTTGTGGTTTTTTTTTTTTTTTTTAAGTTTGCTCTCAAAGTTGCATCTTAAGAGATCTTTCAAGTATTTTATTTTCTTGGTTTTTTTTTTTTTTTTTAATGTGGGTTGGTCAGTGTCAGTTCAGGAAGCTCACAGCCAGCAAGTCCTCTACATGGCGTAATATTCCTGTTCAAAGTATACTGTCCCATCGCAGGCACCTCACTGCTAGAAAAGCATCAGCAAATCAAACTAGTCCAATGAAGGAAAAAAAAAAACAAAAACCAAATACAGGGTATTTGGTGGCTGAATAGATTCAGTGCACAGAATGATTAAAAAGTCTGAATATTCAGTTTAGTTGTGTTAAGCAAGGGATGATGCTACAGTCTGATGCATATTTGAAAAGCGTATATTTCTTTACTTCATATTCTTCTGCCATGTATATACCAGGGTAGATTTCTGTCTATAAGCATAAGAAGGTAAATAAAATGCACTTGTCTAGCTTATACCACCTCACAACTTTGTGCTGAACTCAGACTCTCTGATCTCCAGAAGAGAATTCTTGCAAATATTTTCTGAGTGTCGTAGCTCTGTGCTGCAGCCTATGAATATGGGGAGGATGATCTAATTCAATGCAAGCTGGAAATGATAGAATCTGTCTCTTGAGCTGGTGTAGTTTGGTGGAAAATTTAACTTCATTTCTACACCTTGTTTAAATTTTATGCAGCGTATACCTGGCCCATAGGTTTTTTTTTTTTTTTCCTTTGTCTTCTGAAAGGTATGCAGAAAGAAAAAAAATGATGAGTTTTGCCTGATTCAAGCATTTTTTTTTAAACATTGCAATGAGGAGGTAAAAGGTAAATACCAAATCAGTAGCTTAATTTTGATGGGAT